TTAAAAGTTCGTAAGAAGAGAGACAGAATTGATTTTTAAGAAAAAAAGAGATGGCTAAAGAAACAACGAAAGAAAACGAGTGTATAATATAACTAAATTGATCTAAATATACTAGAGAGATAGGCAAGTCCAATTTCAGACTTGAACCATATGCTGACAGAGTTTTTTCAAGTTCATATGAATTCCAAATAAGATCTAATATATTCAAGAGTGAAGTACATGAAATCTTATACGTATTTCAGCATGTTTTCTCATAAAGTGAATTTCTTATAAGACCACATAGAGCTCCAATGTCAAAAGAGACATTTACGTTTAACATTGTTAAAATATAATTTTATTTCAATTTCGTAATATTTTTGCAGTGACGGTGCGAAGAGGATAAAGCAGGTAGGCCCTAGTTCTAAAAATTGTAATAAATTGGCTAAAATTGGAGCAAATTACCATCAAAATTTATGAAAGCAGGGTGTATACTGTCCTAGATAATCCATTCACGTCGCCACTGTATTTTTGTTTTTTCTTTGTTGCTTTTGTTCTTGTTCCTTCCCATTAACCCTTCATCCTCGACAAATGATCATGCAAATCGAACTTGAGCTTCTTATATATTTATTTAGCCTTGATAAAGTAAATTTTTCTTATCAGCACTCGCTATCTTACGGTGTCAGCTTGCGCTAGCGAAAAATCCGTTTTTGATACGACACATGATCACCTTGTTACAGCGATTCTCCTATGTTCAGTAGTATCCAGAGCTGGGCAAGTCACAAGTTATGACTTGAAATTTTTTTTCCGTAGAAAAATTCCCAAAACCAAGCTGGGTTGCAGGTTTTCTATGAGCTTTGGCTTTTTGTTTAGATACGATGTTTCTTTTTCGTATTTCAAAAGATAATCATAAAAAGACAATGCTCTAATGAACCTAACATAGTTCATATTATTCATATTATAACACGTTTGGACTCAACTGAGATACAATACGTATTGTAATCAAGTATCTCAGTTAAGAAAACATTATTTCTGCGAAAATATTCATTTCTCAACCGAGACACAATTTTGACACGTGCGTTGAAACGTGCAAGAGTGCAGTGTACAAAGGTCTATTATTCAATAGTGAATGAAATGAAATCAGGTATATGATATATCTTTACTGACTATCTAGCACATTACATAGTCAAATATTACCATGTATTAAATTATTATCGAGTAATCGCATGTGTGTAAAAAGCGTCACAATACAATCAGTTCTTATTCATTGCTCTCCACATCATCATGAGTGCTTATGTTTGAATCACGAGTTTTGTGAAAAACGTCTAAGTATGCAAAATGGCGTGAAAGTCGCTGTAATTCTTGTAGATTTTGTAGAACTATTGAATAATAGACCTTTGCACACTGTACTCTTGCACAATTGCACGTTTCAAAATTGTGTGAGAAACGAATATTTTCGCAGAAATAATGATTTCTCAACTGAGATACTTGATTAAAATATGGATTGTATCTCAGTTGAGACGTTACGTTATAACATCAACATTTCCAAAACATTATGAATTATTATTTAAATTTAGATTGCATAAGAGGTTTAAAAATATGCGTGTCTTGACTTGATCTTTTATGCCGAGTCACAATCAAGTCAAGTCTTTTAAAAAAATTTTCAAGTCAGCTCAAGTCAAGTCATGAGTCATAAAAAATTTTTCACGTCAAGTCAAGTCAAAAATGATTTGACTTGACTTGTCCAGCTCTGGTAATATCCATGGCTTTGGACATTCAGGGATGGAGAGTTAACTGTGTTTTTGATAATCAGATAGACTATTGGTATTCAATCAATGGAGTTGACTTTGACTTGGTCAGACTTGTCCATCATTGAAAGATTAACTAAGATTAGGTGTGCACCATAGACCAGTTATTTCCGACTGTTTTATAGAGCATCGAGGAAAATTCTTATAACGCAGTTATTATTAGGAATCGTCCCGACTCATCTCATTTAGTAGAGAAATATTTGCTCTCTCTTGCACCTAACCAAAACTTAGAGGATAAAAGAGCGAAGTATTTTTAACGAATAGCTGAAGAGACAGAAACACTTGTACAGTAGGTGACCAGTTATCATGTACAAAAGAACTTCTTATAATCGTAAAATTAAACCTATTTTTTTGGATCAAACAGTTCATAATCCAGTTCAGTTTGAAGCGTCATAACCGCACGTTGATTGTGACATAATACAACGGAAGAATGATATATCAGAAGAATATTTCGAGCGTGAATTCTAGAATTTGTTCAATGTCTTCGATTTACGTCCAACGACAAATAATACTGTCAAAGGTTGTCATCGAAAGCAAAATTGGTAACTACATTTTGACATCTGTAGCTTAACTATAACTTCATAATTCATTTTCCCATTTCCAGGCGTGTATGGACTTATCCCAACGTACATCGATGAATTGAACAAATTCGAAAAGCAGATTCTGCGTATTTTTAAATATTGTTGTAAAAAAAATTTATATTTCTGTATAAAAATCTATATTTTTCTCTTATCACTTCGCTTGTAACATGGGAAGCAACCAAATCCATACTGAGTAGTTCAGTGTGACTATGAAAGGTTATTGGCTTATTCGACAACAACAGAGATGTAAACTGATCAGATTGAGTTGAACTTGAGAAAGACGTAAAACAAATTGGACATTTCAAGATTACAAGATATTCCTAATAAAATTTGTTTTGTGGATAAACTGATGAGATACATATGTAGTTTCTTAAGAAGCATTTGCCTGTTCATTGTAACTAATTTATTCAATTAGTCTTCTCAAGAATGTTAAAGTAACTAACTCATCAACAGAATATTGAAATAACAATTAAAACATTGAAATGAACTGAATCTAATACTTTGTTTTTTTACTAATGTTTAATAAGAGTAAGGAAGTAAGAAATACTTCTTTTTCATTTTATTATTATTATTTCTTTTATCTTCAGTTTACTCATCATCATCATTTTTCTAAAAGTGTATGAAATGTTTGAAAACTTGAGTAGGAAAAAAAAAGATACTCTTTGATTATGTCATTTGCTCGAGGCAACTTAAAAGATGTGTATAGCGGTGTACACACACACACCAACAAGTTTTTTTTTCTTGTTTTAACATTGTGAAGTGTCTGTGCTACAAATGAATGTTCAAATAGAGCTAGATGGAGAAACTTTCATAAAGTATTTCAATGAGATTTTCACGTAGAAGGAAATGATTTTCCTTTTCTTTCCTTTTTCTTTTTTGTATTATTTATTTCAAGGAGAAAAATAACTCTTTATCTTCTCTCACCGATCAATTTTTCATAAGAAGGCAAAATACAATCATTTTATCAAGATAACTAGAGATACATATTCAATAAGATATCTTTGTGTGAATATTTAGCAGAGAGATATTATTTCTCTATAAGACAAACGATTTGTACATTTTTTATATAGGTAGCATATGGTACATATCATAATTCTTGAGAAAAAAATACCGTATCTTATGCACAAGACGTGTGACATTATATGAGGGCTTATCGTCTTAAAATAGAGATTCAGCTATTAATAGATCACACTTTTATAGTAAATTTCAGTTTTCAATCATAGACTTATTAAAAAATCTCTTCTTTTTCCCTACTAAAAAACGGGCTACTTCCAAAATGCAACTAAAATTAAGCTAATTAGTATAAAAGTGATTGCAAATTAGAACGAGTAAAGTTACATTGGTCTGCGTTTCTCCCAAAAGCGACCATTTTTTTGATTAATGAGTAGTCAACAATCGTAATTTGAAATAGAGATATAGAAATTAGTCGCTTTCTAGAAACAATAGAAATAGAAAAACATATATAATAAGAATTGATGACTATATATTTATGGATAATACGCAGCTATAACTAAAAAAACTAATGCCTGTATTTATGGACGAATATCAAACTTTGATAATTATCAAAAAGTTTTAAGAGCTCTTTCTCACCAGTAGGCTCTATCTTATCAGTATATAGAGGTTATAAAATATGTCAGAGATAGTATTGACGAAGACTAAATGCTTTGTTGATATAACTTTTTTTAGTTATAGCTGTGTATTATCCCATAAATATATAGTCACTCATTCTTATTATATATGTTTCTACGTCTATCATACTCTATTGTTTCTAGAAAGCGACCAATCTCTATTTCAAATTACAATTGTTGAATACTCATTAATTAAAAAGTGATCGTTTTTTGGAGAAATACAGATCAATATAACTTCACTCATTCCAATTTGCAACTACTTTTATACTAACTGGCTTAAATTTTGGTCGCATTTAAGAAGCCACGATAAAATGTGTCCATACATCTAGAATTACCAGAGCATTGGCACAATAAAAAATCTGTACGACTGCCAATAAGTAAGGGAAAAAGTATTGTGAAATTCTCTACATTGAGAGAAAAGTTGACTAAACATTATTATCAGCATGAATTTTTTAATGTTAAATTTTTTGAAAAATATTTTCTTTTTTCCTATAAACAATTTTATTAGCTCCATTTATCTGCACCTTTACGTATTTTTACTTATCGATTAAATAATCTAATTATTCTGATTTCTTATAACTTTCTTTTTTCTCGTCAAATCACTCCTAAAATATATTCTACTATTTCATAAACAAAATGAGACAAAAAAAAATATGAAGATGTTCTGACACCTTATCTTTTTAAAATTGAATAGTTATCTGTCCTATCGATGTTTACTTTATCTATAGTATTTCATTTTTCTTTTGTATAAGAAATGGACAAAAAGAAAAGAGAAGATACGAGACAAACAAAGATTTTTTCCGTTTTTTTTTTTCTTCTTCTCCTGTTAACAGACGATCATATCTCGCTTTCATTGCTATTTGAAAGATATAGATAGTAGCAGCACTACTGGAAATGAAAAGAACGGTAAAATAAGATTTAACTCTACTAATGATTAAAAAATTTTTTCCGTTTCTAAGCTTATTTTACTTTTGTGTGTTATATATCCCTCAGAAAATGAAAGTGGAATGTCCTCTCTAAATTCAACAGCATCAAACTTTTGGAGAAAATATTTACTTGGAGATGGTTTAAAAAATGGTCATCAAACTGCCATTGGTATTCGTGCATTAGTCATTTTATCAGCAATTGTTTTAGTTTGGTTTGGTATTGCTTTGGCCTTGATTATTCATATTAAATGTAAAAAAAATGGTTTGTTATCAATTAATAATGGACTTCACGATAGTACAACAAGTATTCCGAATAAAACAAAACGTTCGTTAATTAAAACTCGTGTTAGACGTCAGATATCATTCCATTCAATCAATAATTTATTACCACGTTTAAAACGTCGTTTAGTCTGTCAACGACAAACATCTCATGTATCATTAAAAAAGAAATCATTTGAAAATTATTCAAAAGAGAAACAAAAACTATCACCTAGAAGAGCCACGATCCTATTTAAGACAAAAAAACATAGTTCATTAACCGATAAACATGTTAAACGAACAGATACAAAAAATAATCATAAAGTAGAAAGTGATAGTTCAAGTGGTGATGAATATACTGGTAAAAATCATGAAAATAAACATTTTTTAAATATTGAAAAAAATACAACATCATCGATAAGTGATGTACTTGAAAAGGTAAGTAAATACTATGCACAGATAATTAATCAAGATAAATTTTGTATTATATTTTAGTATACTCATGATGATGAAATTATTAAATCTAAAACTTGTTTTCCCACTCCGGTCCTACGTGCACATACATCTCTTCCGTTGAATGAAAGTACAACAACAACGACAACATTTCAAAAAGTTAATGAATTATCATCTAGTAGAAAGATTCCATTATTATTTTATCCAATTGTTAAACGACCATTGAATTCAAATCGTTCATTAACTATGAAACCTGTTGCTTCTGCACGTGAATTAAGACAACGAGATGATAACTGGCTATGTGTAATAAACAATATTAATAGTGAAAAAAATTTTGATGATCGTCCTTTACCATTGGTAATGATAACAGACACCGCATCAAGTCACACAAATATTGTTGAATTAGATAATTTTGAAGATCAGCATCGTTTATTATCAGATGATGAACGATGTATAATGAAAGAATTGAGAGCATCATATAGACCAAGACATTCGACATAATAAAATTATAATCTTATTTAAATGTTAACTATTTGGTTGTTCAAGTACAAATTATAGTTTAACCAATGACTAGAGATGTGCACGGGCACCATTCTCGTACCCGCACCCGTACATTTTTTTTCCACCCGTACCCGACCCGACTCGAGAACTGTGTACCTGTACCCGACCCGTAATCGACTTATACCTAAAAATTTTCTTCTTTTTGTTTTCCAGCTAAAAACTTTTGTTTTTCGACTGAAGCTGTCAAATTATCATTACGTTCTCAAGTAATTCTTTTTTAAACCTATGTTAGCTAAATTCCTGTACTTTTTCACTAAAATTTTGTGGGTTTTCCACTAGAACCTTCCGGTTTTCGGATAAATTAAAAAAAGATACAACCCGTACCCGTACCCTACCCGTATCCGACAACTTCGTACCCGTACCCAACCTTCGGGTCAGGTTGCACATCTCTACTGTGTATGACTCCTAACAGCATTTCTTGAAGTAAAGAATAATTAAATTAAAAGAAAAATACACCTTTTCAAAGTAAACTAATTTCCGACGTATTATGTATCCTATGTGAATGTACTCAGACCATTTTAAACCCCAAAGTAACAAAAACCAATTAACTTATACAGATATATATATATATGTTATTTCTTTATAAATTTTTATTAGATAACAAAATCTTAAAATAATGATAAAAATGGCAATTAACTAATCGAAATGATACTGTATCATTTAGTAAATTTTCATCGACTCATAACTTTTGTCTATGAAGCAAATAGTCGACTCCATTAATTGATATTCTAACAAATTTTAATATTAATCGTAAGATAATTCTCTTTACAGGTCATAAGAATATTCGAAGTTTCTCTAGCTATATGGAATTAATCGTTCATTGCTACTTATGTGTTGTTGTTTTTTTTAAAAAAAAACTTATTCTTTTGTCTATTATATATACATTTTTAAATCCTCAACATGTAATATATCGTTGAATAAGGGCAAAATAATCCTCAACTAAGCTGTTTAGAAATAATAGAATCAGACGGAAAAAAAGAAGAAATGAAGATTTTTGTGAAAAATACGCACACGCAATCACTCAATAAATATTTTTGTGTAAACTAAAGAATAAGGGTGTCAACAAAGTAGACCTACTAACCTGCATCATTAAATACTTGACACAACATTGAAGCAGTGACTGATGTAAATTCACTAGGTTTACATACACAGGTGCAGCCAAACGCTAAACAGGGAGCTAGAAGAAGATAAAAAATTTATTATTACATTTTTTGCTCTTAATTAAATTTAACAAATGTATCTACCTATTTTCCATGTAAGTAAATACAATGGTAAATTCCATGGACTAATTAGTGCTGCAACACCAACTGGTTGACGAGTTGTATAACTTAAAACATCAACTGATGGATGATGAGTTGAACTATAAGATAGCAAAAATGCAAATAAGCTATTTTCAATAAAATTGTGTCTAACTGCATGAACTAATAGACGTCATCAAACTCAATGTAAACGCCTCTCTTTTCTCCTAGATATCGCGATTTAATTGATTAGAAAGAATTTCGTAGCACAAAAGGATAGAACATAACGTCTTTTTAACGAGATTTTCTGAGCATGTTGTAATTTTCCCCAAAACATCACGAGTATAATCAGAGCACACATTTCTATACTTTAGCGTAAAATATGTCTTTAGCGTAGAATGTCCTAAATAGGCATGCAACGAGCTTTTTTCTGCTTTTTTCGTACTTTTGCAAATGGCGATGGAAGACAAGGAAATTAGCGACGGAAGAATTTTTGAGTCTGCAGAAGTGTACAGCAAACATTTCTCTACAAAATAGTAGAACTTCCAACGAATTGTTGTTCTCGTTTTATGACTATTTTATGAATGGCTCCAGCCGAGCCTGAGCTCTTCATAAACACTTCTGCAAGTTCAAAAGATTTTTGTCACATTGTCTTCTCAAAATACATTGTTTGTACAAAAAAGATAAAAATCTATAGGCTCGGGCTTGGTACATAGATATCCTATTTTTATTAGTATGAATAACTTTTTAGAATGTTTCTTTTCTACGGTTTATGTGACTTAATGAACAGTAGGTGTGAATAGTAGTCGAACATTATATATTTAAGATAAAATATTCACAAGTACTTTTGCTATAACACATTCGCGACTTTCATTACATGGTGATATAATGAAACCAATTCTCATTCAAGTAACGACCATATTTAAAACGGATCTATCAAATTTTGCTGTCTGGTGATTGTTAAATAATTAATTTCATCTAGTGAACTGATCATTAATCAAGATCATAAGTGATTAATAATTAGTGTTTCAAATCGCAAAAACAATACAAAAGAATGAAAATATAGCTTACTCTTCACGACTATGTAAAATGGATGCTGCAAAAAATCGAAAATTTTCAACGGCACGTGGTATTTCAATTGTTCTTGACAGCCATAATGGTTTTCCTTGATCTTTCGATTCGGCAATAGCAAAATCTTCTAATCTTGATTCAATTATGTCAGCAATCTTAGTCATATATCGTGCGCGTTCAATATCAGGTAATGCACTCCATCTGAAACATACATAATATATAAACATTAAAAACCTTAAATGTGCTCCATGTAGCACTGTTATTTACAAGAAAACAGAACTAATCATCAAAAAATCGAACTCTGAACGTCATTCATCATGCCTGTTAGAACAGACTAATTATTTATGACTGAGATAGTACAGTGACTTCGTCTGTGAGATGACAGAAGAGAGCTTGGATGGGCCGCCAATGGGGGAATTGGAAAAAAATCATAAGGGCAATAATCAGTTATTTCTATGTGAAGAATTATATTACGCAGCAATGTATTTTCTTAAAAATCGAAGTAAAAGAAAAGAAAAATGCACTCTAAAAAGTTTATTGATACCCCAGAAAAAGTTACCCGGCTCGCCCATGAAAGAGAGAGCAGAAAATGGTGTAATTTAAAAGCATTTTGACTTACTTTAGAAATGCAGTTTTGGCTGCTTTTACAGCATTGTTAACATCATTTTCGTCACTATCTGGAATTTTAGCATTCACTTCGTTTGTGGCTGGATTAAAACTATCAATATAGGATTTAGTATCTTCAAATTTTCCGTTTATAAAATTTTGAATAACTATAACATCGGACATGTTTTTAGTTTTGATTTGTTCTAAATGTTTAAATTGCTGTAAAAATATTATCGTCAAATTTCTTTCTTTTTGTTTCTTTAACTGACGATTATTTTTGATAAAAATGACGTAATGTATACACTTATTTATAGAATATCTAGAAAAGGAGAAAAAGAAAAATGCAGATGTCAAAATTCGTTTTACCAGTCAAAATATAGTGGTATCTGGCGAAAAATTAGGCTAAATGTTCACTGCAAGTTTGATTTGAACGTGTTTAATTTGTAGATGCGTAAAAGTTTACACAACAAAGCGGGCGTAACCCATTGTATGTTGAGAGGAAGTGAGATGACAAAGTAGGAAGAAATAAAAGACTAGCTTTAGATTCCATCTGAAGTTTTAGTTAGACACATAAATCTGTTATGTCTTACGAGGAAACTTATAAATCGCTTTTGAACCCTTACTACTTGTATCTTGTAGACCTCAGTGAGTAGTGAAATACTCTAAGTTGGTTCATCCCCGTGATGCTTTGTTGCTACGATATTGAAGCTTTACTCAGTTTTTGCCTACAGAGCTTGGATTT